AAATCCACTTTTTTATATAAATGGGTTTATTGGTCAATGGTCTATAATCCAAACTCACATCCAACTTTTTAAGTACATTATTTAAGGAGTTATCCAGAACTAAAAGGTGCTAAATCGATCAAATTTACACTTTTGTTATTTGATAGCGATCTAGATAGCACCATTTGGTTCTTGAGAATAGTGTTAAAACCAAAAGAAGAAAAAAAATTAGTGATAACCAAAAAGTACTATCTCATGTTCACTGTATTAACCAAACAATAATAATATGATGGTACAATATTATTAATTATTGTACATTTTTATCAACAAAACAAAGATTTCTATAAATAATTTTAATAATTATACGGTACATTTACTTTAGTCCTTAGTCAATATTATTTTTATTTTGGTTTTATTTTAACGGGATGCCTCAACATTAATAATTCTGATCCAAGATCTTGTCAATTATTATCGTTATAATAGAAAAAAATATGTTGTCATCGAGGTTACGAAACCGTACCAATAAGTTAATGAAGCTAGCAGAAAAACAAGTTGACATTAACAACAAGTAAGTACCTATAAAATAATACCTAATATATAATTTAGAATTAGGTATAGGTAATAGGTATTCATTTTAAGTGAGATATTTACCTAGGTACTTAAAATATTTTATAGATATAAATTATATTTAATATAATATTATCAATACATTTAATTGAAACATAATGTTTAATATTATTGCAAAGGCTTAAAATTGCTTTTACAAATTAATGCAGCTAATTGCTTAGTACCTACTTATGTTCATTTGATGGCATTATTACCATTTAAAATTTTAAAAGTAGGTAACCCCTTCTACAGGTACGGTCATGTATATAGGTTAGGTTAGGTATCTATTCTACTCAAGTGAAAAGCCAATGCCATGTCATTATTTATTATTTTGAGGTTGGTAACACCATAGTGAAAACATACATTTAATTCAAAACCAAAAAGTTCTAACTAAGTGAAAAAAAAAATATTAACAACCAAAAGGTTCTATCTGAAGAACTTTTTGGTTCTTAACGGAAATTTTTTACATTTTTGTTTTTCTTACGTTACATTTTGATTTTAAGAAAACTAAATCGCTAGTGTTAACTCAGAACAACTTTGTGAATTTTTAGATGTGCTAATCATTAAAAATCATTCATTACGAAAAAAGATAATGCAGTTTTAAGTTGAAAATAGTTTAAAATGGCTCTCCTGAACAATTTGATATTTTGAGATAGCACCTTTTGGTTCTGAGCCCACGAGAGGTACATAGTTAAAATAATATACAGTAGTAATATTTGGTGACTCATGAACATTTCTAACAAAATGTTTAGAGTAAAACATAACCAATGCTTGGGTATTGTTTTAAATCACAGCTCTAAAGTGTTGATATTATAAATAATACGATTGTAAATTGGTTGGAGCTGATAATAATAAATAATATTATACACACATATAGGGCATACTTACTTGATATTTAAAAATCAAGCACGTCGCACTATCGCACGTGATACAGATTAAAATACCGCAAAGTTAAACTCCATCATACACCGCAGTAGGTTATTAAATTAAAATATTACTATTGTTCTCAAAATATAGAATTAACTAAAACTAATAATTTTAATAAACCACTTAGTGTTAGCGTTACTCAGCAGCTTGTCAATAGAATAGTATCGAATGAGTTTCAGTTCTCACAATACAAATGCCTATTGTCTAGGACTCGTGAATAAATAAACCATGACAACCGGGAGTAATGTAGCAAAAGGAGACGTTAAACAAGTTATTTAAAATATGGTTTAGAACTTTGAAAAGATCTTTTTTTCTAAACTAAAAGCTTTATTGATATTTTAAAAACTTTTTGCGTTTGAGTAGGTATAAAAGGCTCATCAAGAATTAAAGGGTTTCTACAATTTTTTCCTTTCTTTAATTTTTAAAAAATATCATAATGCCTGCTCCGTCGTATAAAGTCGGTGACAGTTTATTAAACATTAATATTAGGTTATATGATATATTATTATATTGGCTGTTTGTGATTCAAACGGTATAAAAAAAGGTACCTAAGTATTATATAATGTACATAATATTAATATAATATATTCTATAGGTACTGTTAATAGTTAATAATTGATTCATGAAATGAATTCCAGCTCATACATTTTATATAACGTTATTGAGTAGGTAGCAACAAAATGTTTTTGTATTTGATTTTATCAAACAACTTTATAAAGTACATATTTCTTTATATATTGTACAAAATCCGTTGGTATTGTAAGACATACTTCTCGTGACACATCCAGACTTGGCATGTTTATTTATTTTATCTCTTTATTTTTTTCTAAGCTCCAATATCATAAATTGATACTGTTCCAAAATTGTACGTTTCAAACCATTGCCGAAATTTAAGAGATTTATTGCACACAATACATTTCCATTGTATTACTTATTGTTCAGCACCGAAAACATACGTTTTATGTGTCATATAGTGGAAGAATGATAATCGCACAAAGATAATATCTCTATCTATATCATATTATTAAGTCAATATTAGTATTTCAATGTGTACCTATATTATAATACCGATATTTTATTTTTTAATAGCAAAAAAAAAATGACAGTTAAAATCTATAGTGCTCAACTGAATTATATATGTATCCATCAATTGTAAATTAGTTTCATTAGTTCATAGCTGTAAATAAATTTATCACTCAGCAAATGTATGGTTAAATGTATACTCACATAAAACATAGTATTTAAATATATCTACCTAGTGACACGAGTTGTTTTTATGGACTTCAATATTCTTTAATCAGTTTTTCCAACTTAGTGCCTTTCTCCAAATAAAAGAAACCTTTAATCTACTAAAAATTTTGTGGTTTACGCTAAAGTTTCTTCAGTCACTGATAACACATACAAGCATCCTTACTTAGACGTAAGACGATAAAGAAGTTAATGGTAGCTACATTAAACCTTCTCATTGCTGTTCAAAGAAAAGCTATAATACTGATATTTATGGTTCTAAAACTCTCAAATACAAAACGTTCACTAATATATATATATATATATATATAACATTTATTCATGTCTTAGAATCTGAGCATGCACAAATTATATCTTCCTTTTAAATACACTCATTCATGAAATCAATAACCTTCAACGTATCTATTAATAATTCATTTGATTCGTATTCAGATTGATTCAATAGGTATTATATTAATACAATTCAGTTTATATTTATTAAGACATCTAAAATAGTATAATAATTGTAAAAACTTTTGATCGAATATACAATAATAATATATGTATATGTATATGTATATTATGCATATGTATATAAACAAGATAATAATATAATTAAATAATATTACTTATTAGAAAATGTAAACAAATGTTACTCTATGGTATTAACCTACAGTTTTCAATGGCTTTATATGCTACAAAACGTGTTCTAATGAAAATAATATCACCATTGATATTTAAATACCTTTATAAATGTACAACATAAATATTATAGAATAATGAACAATATAGTTCTGATTTTTATTATTTTAAATTTCGATTGTTTAAAACTTAAATGTGTATGATGTATCTTAAAGCATGTTAACCTATTATTATTTTAATGATCAAAGCGTTCATTGACAACACTCATTATACGGTAAAATTAATTTTAACAAAAGCTTCCAATTAATATTTCAGGCAATGTGATATCATTAAAAAGTACACGTCAAAGAAATACAATAAATGTATTTTTCTCATCGTTATTATTTTTTTTATTTACACACTTATTTGTTAAACACGTGTTTTTTTATTATCTTTATATAAAATTAAAAAAAATATATTATATATTTTTGTTTAAGTCTTTATTTTTTTTCTGCTTTTAGAAATAAGAAAATAAATAAACAAAATAATTATTTTAGTTTGGTTAACAATTAAATTTCTTATGGTTTTTAGTTATAAAACCAATATTGGAAAAACGTCAATTTGGTTTTTCTCGCCTGTAGTGACTATTTAGAATATTATCACGAACGTGAAAGTTAGGATTTAATCATTAATGGGGTTCAGCTAATTGCCCTCGGCTATCTGTAGATATATAAGGCTTCGAGTGAATGCAGAAATCATTTGTATTCCAAATGCCTATCTATCAGATAATTATGTACCTAACAGGCTACATTTGCTATTTTATTAGTCTCATATTGGTTATACGCACTGCAGCAAAACCACTAAAAACGAAATCACCTTTGGAACTAGTTACGTAGAGTTATGCATTTATGTTACTAGATTATAATATTTGAAAATATGTGATGGAATAAGTTGCATAAATGTGCCATAATATTTGGATATTATAACAACACGTTAACACCTTATATACAGCTTTTGTGCTACTACTCGTTGCTTTATATTACGAAAGTATTATTTTATTTTAAAACAAAAATAAAATAACGAAATGAATTAGATTTAGATTTAGATTTTATAATAATAATACTGGTGAAAATATTATACACATAATAACAATAATTATTATGTTATTTCAAATGTAAATAATCTTCTTTTGAAAATCTGTTTGAGTAAATGTGCATATTTTAGTGTATGGAAATATCCTCATAAAACCGCTATAACACATACAGGTTTAAATTTTGATTTATGTTGTACGAGTATTATAATTATATTAAATTTTTATTTACTGGGTAAACAATTCTTTAAATAAGGTTCAACGTGACGTTTTACCCATTGAATACAAATGTTGATAGAATTTACCTAGTCATTCTTCAACAAAACGGTTCATCGACAAATACAAGCACTATACTCACTGATTACTCTATATCGAATTTGCATCCGATCTTTCTCGTGGGAGCATCTCTGGATGTGTGTCGTATGCACTCTACACAGTAAAAAACCAACTACTACAAAAACCAATGACCTATTTAGTTTAAGAAAAAAAAAATTGAAAATAAACGTTTGCCAAACGACCGGTCCGTCCCAAGGGAAAACAACCTAACGAAATGGGATTACACTATGTCTTAGGTGAACCGTTCGGTTTTTGCAAACACGAAAAAGGTTGGTAGGGGACACACTTTACATACAATTTAAAGTAATGGGCTGAAGTATTCAAGTTGGAAGGAAACTGAATTTACATTCTTATTCCTAATTTTATTCTCCCAAATGAAGTTTTCTGTCTAAAGGGTACAATATTTTGCATGACCTAAATAATACAATGTTTTCAATAAGTTTACAAAAATTTGTCAAAATAAACCACACCAGTCTTAATTTCCCAACTGTATGTAAAAGTATTTAGTAAAGCATTGGCTTCTCTGAAGTAATTCACTTCCAGTTTAACTCTCGTCATTATTATGTATAATATTGAAGCCAGCATATAAATTAAAACAAATCTTTGTCAAATAAATCAATCGATCAAGAAATAAAAAAAAAAGATTCATTGTAGAATTTAGCATTATTATTTTATATTTTGATAATAATTACAAAAAAATATAATTTAATTTGTAAAATAATGCAAAATTCGTATCATTTAATAAATAAGTAATATGGAATGAGTTCATAGGCCAAGTTCAAATAATTGCAAAATTTGTGTAGGTAATCTATTAGTTAAAAATAATTTTTAATAATATTTGTTTAAATGTTGATGTAAATAAATGTAATTCATAATTTAAAAATGTTTTTATTTTAAGTGTTCAACAGCTGAACAGCAAATTACTGTAAAATATTTATAATGAATTCATGCATTTGTGTACTTTTTGCTAAATTACAGTTTTGTAACTATTTGGTATTTGTTTAGTATTCTGACAAATACAGTTACAGAGTTATTGAGAGGAACTTGGGGGGTAGGCTAAGTCCCTATAAATGAATTGAAGAATCTCCGTCCTTCACTGACATAATATCTGATTAGCTTACTATATAGAAATATCCATCTATGAATACTATAGTTGATAAAATTTCCAATTTAATGATGTCATCGTATCGTACCCAAATAAGCCACAACCAGAGCATTGTTCATTGCAAATAAATTGCCTCACCCAATCAAATTGTTGGGAGTGAACTTTGCGGAGATCTTATATAAAATATCCAACAGTGCTACCCATTACAATATTATGTAACTTTACGACATTTATTATGATAATTAATACAGAAACGACTTTGTTAGTTGTTACAATAGAACTATATTATATATTTATATAGTATCCTTGGAAGTTTCCAATACGTTGACGAACGTTAAAACGTTTACATTATTTTTGATATGTAACTATAATATTATTATGTTATACTTTTATTTCAAATAATTCTCAGTCAATTACTTTTTTATTAATTCACAACGCATTTTTACTAGTCATTGAATTCTATATAATATTGCCATATTGGTAATTTTAATTTATTATAATACAATTTAGTTCACATTATGTCATTATCACTACAAACATAACTTAAATTACAGTTAAGCGTATGACATTTAGTCATGAATGCATGTAAAATGAATAGTAATAATAATATATTATTATCAAGTAATTTGTACTGACATTTTGTATTATAACCGTGATGGTGATCACCATCTGCAATTGTCTTGTAGTTGGACGTATCGCATATTATAATTATATATTATCTTGTATATGACATCGTGGCGCTAACAAGTTTGCTTTTCACCAATAATGTTATTGCGAACGTTTGTAGTCTGTTGAACTTGCTGATAATATGACAGAGAAGAGAAATGTGTATACAAACAATTAATCTAAACGGTATATACATGTACCTACGATTTGATTAAAATATGATGTGGGACAATGAAAATATTCTGAAGATTTAAACATAGGTACAAAAAATATCTAAAATACTCGATCTATGATTACATAATATAATATAAAGTTAGGGATTTTTTTTTATAAATATTATTATTCTACGTTAGCCATCTATTCAATATTACTAACTTTTTTTAAAAATATAAGTAGCGTATGTATAATATATATTTTACTCTAAATTAAAAATATGATATTGGGCCATGCGTATTTTATTAATATTTATTTGTGTATTCACAACCACAACTCTACATTTAAATAGTATCAGTGGTTATTACGTAGTTTAGTGGATCTGAAAACTATCAATGTGTAATTTACATGAACTGATTTAGATTTGTGTCAAATCCAGACAGTGACACAAAACTACATTTTTAACGCTGATATCAACAAGAGGCGTGCCAGACATATTATCCAGCTCGGTTCATTCAATTCAGAAATATTAGTTGAAATCCAAATTGTTTATGTATAGTACAGAATTGATAGTTTAATAATATGAATTAACATACCATAACTTATACGTCATACTCCAAGGGTAAATATATAAAGCAGTTATCAGTTAAAACATTGTATAGATTTACAATATTATATGATGACATTCTTAATTAAATACATTCAACTATATATAATGCACTAACAACAATATTGTAAATATCAATATTTTTTTATAATAAAACACATTTTAATAACATAATTATTATACTTAAAAAAATACATATTATACTGAGTCATCATATAAAATCTACCTTATTTAAAAATGTGCCAAAATAAAAATAAAAATCCATATTTTTTTTTGTTTTTGTATGAAATGTAAATAAATATTTTAGATTTATATTTTATATTGAATTACATATAAGTAAGTAGGTACTCAAACTATTCCGCAATCATTAAAATTTGAAATCAAGTCTGAATGATGCTTTAAATTGAATCAATAAAAAAAAGCCATAATACGTTTTACCTACCGGTTGACACAAAAAAGTTTATATTAGCAAATTCCTACGTATGTTGTATAATATGATGGACTATGTAGTATACAAAGAGCCATTGTGTATTACACGGTCTAATTATTTATTGACTTCGAAATTGAAGTGTTTTTTTTTTCAATGATTTACCTATAATATTCCAACCATAATATAATGTACCTATAATTATAAAATAATGTTCTATGTGATGTCTGTGAAATTAATGAATAGAAGTATATAATATTATATATTTACAATACTGATACATACATATAATTCAAGTTCAAAAATCAAAAATGAATATTTTATCTTAACGATTTTGTTGCTGGCGCGTTTAAATAATGTTTTTGATTAAAAAAAAACTCAATTAAACTAAATCTTTTTTTCAAAATATAATGGTCTTTATATTTTATTGAATAATTTTTTATTAAATTCTTATTGTAAGCATTTCAATGTTATTAGCTTAGGATAGGTTAGTTTATAATTTTATTTAGCAAAGTTATTTTACATTATTAATATCAAACACATATTAAAAAGAAAACTGATATGTTGCCAATTACTCCTCCGTGGTATGCTCGGTTATAAAGAACTTATAATTTTTATACTGGTACTGACATAAGTAATAAAGTAAAACACTGTATTTCAAAATTAAAACTTATAGCTTATCATGCAATAATACTTATCACTTTTCAGTTTACTGTACAAAGTATTTTTGGAACATTTTTCATCAATAACTAGCAAGTAAAAACGCCAGACAATATTATTGTATACATATAATATTAATGTGATCATATGGGTATGATTAGAATAAACACATATTATGTTAACATTTCAAACTATTATTAGGTACATTGCAATAAGTCAAAGGATATCAGTTGACTCGAAAATGACAAAACAATATGCCATGACTAGGGAGCACTTTTTATAATAATATGTTTTATTATTATTACTATTCTCTGAGCGATGACCAAAATAACCAATAGTAAAACAGGCATGTCATAAATGTTGACATTATTTTTTTGTATTTTACAATTTTTCTTTGTTTTTTTTTTTTTGCGTGGAGAAACCATACCGTAAAAACCAGCTCTATTACCGGCTTCAGCATCTAAAAAGTTGCGCCATGAAACTTTCGAAAAACTATTTTCAACCGAAAAATAAACACACGGTCGCGAGCTGAACGAAACAAAACACGGTGTCATTTGTAAAACCAATAAATTCCTCTGTCCACTTGGAATCTTGAATCTCTGCACCATGTAAGGTTTTACAAAGTATCGATCTGTAGAAAATGCATTCGCGGTTGCTGTGACTTTTCAAACGTTCCTCTATAATACTCGCCAACAACAGTTTTACGTTCACCGCGGGATAAATCGTAATCGTGCCGGTAAGTCCGTGGTATTATAATAAATTGTATTTTACAAGCGCCGCGATAACGCCTATTTATCGACGGCTATTATTATTATGCGTATAATAGCGGAGGTTACGACTGCGGATGCGGTGGTGGCGACGATGATCGGTGTATTAATAGGCACCTATAACCCTAAACTGCCGGAAATTTACATGTTTATAATGTTATTATAATAATATAATATTTAGCCATTTAGGGGCACACGAAGAATTTTTAATGGGGTCGAGTAAAAGTTTGTATAAAACACTGTACAGAAAGCCACCACCGGCGTGTGCATATCAAAATAAACAATAATTATCACGCACGTCGCCTCTTCGCTCACCAAACCACCATCCTTTACCATTACCCTTTACCGCCGACCCTTTGCACCTATACTATATAGTTATATAATAATAATAATAATAATAATAATAATAATAATAATAATAATAATAATAATAATAATAATAATGATAATGATAATAATATAAGTATAAGGTACCTACACAGAGTCGCGGGCCGTCTCTTTTTAATATTCAACGTACACGCGGTGAGATAACTTCTGCGTCAGGAATTAATGGAATTATCAACTTTGTTGCATGTATATACGCTAGCGTTTGTCGCGTCGGGTAGAACTTTTTGGTGCCCGATACGTGATTATGAATTCAGCTTGCGTTCTGCCGGCCGTCCCGGCTTGGTAAATCTCGCAACACGTATATAGAAAAATACAGTATAGGTTTAGACACAGAGTTTGCCCCGACTTCGGTGGTCCCAGGCCATCATGAAGCTTCGGCTCTCCCCGTATCCCATCGGTTTCCACGGCCTAAGGTTTAAAAAAAAAAAAATAAAAAATGTTTGATTTTCGGAAACCCTATCTCAACCGGTTTTTACAATAATATTATTGTGCACCGATCAGTTGTAGGACGTTGCGTACACATTGATGAACACGTAAAACAATATAATAATAATATAATATTACGATAATTAGGGAGGGTTATCGTTAGGTGTCAAATAAATAATGTTTAACGAGAACAATAACGATTTCATTAATTTATTCGTTTTTGTAATGTAAAGTGGTACAATTATTTTTCATGCAGCTGCAATGCCCTAGTGATATATCAAGATTAACTCTGGTTTTCGCTCATAAGCAGAGCTAAATACATCATCATATTTTTACCACGTTTCTGATCAGAATTTCCAATTTAATTGTTTTTCTTAACGATTCTTTTTTGAAAATAAAAATTCAAAATAATTCAGACATGCTACATGAATCGCGATTAATCCTAAACAGCTAAAATCAGCATCGACGTAACTAGGAGGGCTTAGGGGGCTTAGTCCCCCTCATACTTCTATTTAGCCCCCCAATGAGGTTTTACTTTGTAGCCCCTTCGTAGGCAAGTAGTTAGATCCCAAATCGTTACGAAAAAAAAAAAAATGTGTAAAATAATAAATTATTATATTATAAAATTATATAATATAATAATTGACATTGTATACAGTTTAGGTATATGTACCAAGTACGAATTTATCGTGGTTGGTCATAGTTTTGGCGGAAGAAATGTGTTTATGTGTTTGAGGGGTATATAGCTTATCTGCTTATTGCATATTAGCTTCAAGCATACCTATATAACCTATTATTGTATTACCTTTAAATAGGTACCCGTGTCTCGTGTTGCAGGTATACCTATTCTTATATTATTATAGTTATAATATTATAGTTACCTATATTAGTTGTATCGCACATTCGTACAGTGGTTGAATACTATTATAATATGATCATTTTATTTTCCAATTCCCAGTTCTCAATTTACTGTGCGTCTGTGGCACTCTTTGTGCAGACTGCAATGTAGGTGGTACTATAACAGACTGTGACAGTATTTTTATTTTTGAGTACGTATACGATACACGTAAATACCTTAGATTTGATTGTAAACAACTATCAAAATGTTCGGTATATTCAAATTAAAAAAAAACAAGTAGTGCTAAGAACGAAGATGATCCAAACAAATTATGGTTCATATTAAATTTTGGTTTTAGCGGACTTTTTGTAACAACTAAATTTCAGTAAACCTTATAAGGGGGGTATAGAGGGGTTTTACCCGACAGAAAAAATAGACTGATTCGGACAATTATTTTATTATGAAAACTATTTTAATTTATCACAGCCCACGGGTAGGTGATACATTTTAATGATAAAAAATACTGCTTATAATAATATAATTGAATTAAACTATTGTCTGTATGATTAATTTGTTTAAATTTCATTGCGGTAAAATAATAATAATAATGTATCAAAATAAAATAATGTTTTAATGTTTATATTTTTTTTTAGTATGAAAGAGTTAAAAAAAATGGGACAAATAGTCAAATAATAAAACTGTTTTCACCAAATTTTCGTTTTTACCCCCTTGGCTTTATGTGATCCTTCCGAACAATTTTACAGTACTGTGTTTAAAGTATTCACAAGACTTAATTCTAAGATTGTCGATATTATACAAAAACTTTTAAAACGGATCAAATATAAGAAACAAAAATCGAACAGATTAAAACTGTTTTGAGTATTTTATAGCGTTATATATTTTTTTCTACATATAGAATATGTAAATGCATTCGCGTACGACAGAAATACTTGATTCACAACTTTCCGGGAAATGAAATCAAATTACACTCTAAGTTTTTACAGTTTTCCATTTCTGGAACTATAAATTATTTTTTTGCTTCTAAAAAATTGATGCACGTTAATGTGAATAGACGAAACGATAAAATACAATTATACCCTACACTTTGCGAAACTGTGTTAGCCGAGCCTGTCAAATTATATAAGGTTTTGTTGTAAATATCTCCGGAGGTCCGTTCGTTTCGATTATGGTCGGACGCCTACTTAATAATGCCCCGTACCTATAATATTCAACCGAAAATAAATAAATAATTATAATACCTAATTGTTATTAACTAGTATTTGTTTTCTGTTCACAGATACCACTGCTTCTAGAAAGTTCTTGCAGGAGTTTCTACAGGATATCCCGCCACCAATTATTGGCCCAGTGTTCGACAAAACGGTGCCGAATAACGTGACCGGGTTGGTTGGTAGAACCGCGTACTTACATTGCAGAGTCAAGAACCTGGGCAATCGAACCGTAAGTAGTTGATACTTGAACACCTCTAAATAATATTTACCAAGAATCGTCCAAAGCAATCGACGAAACCCACCCCATTTAGCGTGTTTCAAGTAGTAGTGCATAACGGCGTTGTAATAATATTATAATATTATAACAATTAATTATTATTATGGCTATTATACGTTTTCCCGAATAAATGTTTTTGTTGTATCGAATTTGAACTGTATATAAATCGTTTGCAATAAAAACTTACAACACTAAAATTAACTACGTAGGTTTTTTTTCTTCTAGTAATAGTAGTATTATAGTAGTCCAGAAATAATTAACGATACGAATGTAATAAAATAAAAAATAAAACATTTTCTTTTATATCCCAGCAACAATTTATACTTGTTGAAACTGTTTTGAAATTGCGAAGACAATAACATTTTTCTAAAAACATCTGTAGCGATTGTTTCTGAATTTACTGTGTATTTTATATCTTTCAACATCTGGTATATACTTTTAAATTTTTTAAGTATTAGAAGTTTGATAAAAAAAATTCTTGAAATCCATTATCGTTATTTTTATAAACATCATTATGGGATGTATTCCTGACAACCATCTTGACTACGTACATTTAAATGTTAATCGTACCCGATTTTTAATATAAAAACAGAGATAGCTAAATATTTCATAAAATTTTATTTTTAAACAAATCAATGGACAATAATATTATAACAGTCATATAGGTATGTAAAATAAATGTAACTTCACTACGACCAATAAGTTTTTTTTTATATTTTGAATTATTTTTTAATCCTGCTTAATTGTATGATAATATCATCATAAATGTACGCAGATAGGTGTGTTACTTGGGTACAAATTACCTATACTTAATGTATATTATCTATACTTCTTTACTTGCTTATGAAATTTATCGTATATTTGTATTAAGATATTTTAAATAAAATTTAAGTACACCACAATAATGATAAAAACTACAACAAAACAGTTTGTTTGTTTTGTATATTTTTATTCTAAGAAGAAACAATTACATTTTTTAAACTTCGGACAACTTAGATCATTTAAGTCGGATAATTGAAAACCCCGTGAAATACAACCGTTTTATAGTTATTATTTTTTTTATGTGATACAGAAACATCTGTTTCAAATTGTTCATGAACATTATTATGGTTGTGACCAGTATTTTCTTTTAGTGACCAGGTGTTACTGTTGGATGAAAAACAATTTTACTTATAATTATTGATGTCGATAAAAAAATTAAGCTGACCAAAAATTCAGATACCACTCTAATAACAATAATTATTGTTCATCCAAGTTCCACATTTTGTGGGTTAAAATATCATATTACTGGACCACGCAGTAAACAATATTTGCCTTACATCCACACAATCTATAAAATAAGTAAATTTAAATTTTCACTACTAAACACCAAATCTTAACTTATGTATGAATATATTATTAAACAATAATATTCATTCAATATTATTTTGTGGTGCATAATAATAACCACTTTTACAGTGTATAGGTAATAGCCTTAGCCTTAGCTGAATTTATACCATAGAATTGTTTGCATTGACAGATTTTTTTTTTGAATAATATAATAATATATTATAATATGAGTAATCTTTGTTTAACTGTTATTACAGGCAAATAAGGTATTTGCATTTTTCCAATAATTATTAATCATGGAAATAAGTAAACTTTATTGTGTAATATAAGATAATGAGGTATTCGAGTAATGGAAATAATCTATAGTGATCAATAATAATAAAATTGTACTATTTTGTTAAGTTGTACTTAAAGATCCAATTTTAAGAACAAATATTCTATATTTATATAGCTTAACTGAAATCAAGATGCAGAAAGAGTATTATAACGGAATATGTTTTAGAAAATATAATAAATAGCTCAATGGCCTTACAACAGGAGATATTTTGTAGACCTACATCAAACTAAATATACATAAATCCCTACATATAGCAATAATAAATTTACAATTTATATCATATTGGTTCACGATTTCTCATTTCGCAATCATTATAACATAATAATCTTACAAAATAATTATTTTAAAGTATTCGCATGTATGTCATGCAATGAATTATATTCTTTAAAATATAACTAAAACTAATACATTATAAATGAACAACTATTTTTTTTAAACTAAGTATATTAAATACATTTATTATTGGATCTAAATTAAAAAATGTGTATTATACGTTGACAAAACACATACCTTCAATTGTAATATACAGCTAATTTGATTTTATTTAACTATATGGTTAGTTCTTACCGAGTTTTTTTTATAATCTACGTTATTACTAATTAAAAAATATTATCACCCCTAAGAAAATTTAAAAAAACAAAAGATAAATACTTGTATGAACAAAATCTATGTTAGAAAATAATTAGAATATAAATACAAATAAATACAAATAAACTTTCAATATTAAAAATCAATTATTATGATAAAAAATACGTCTATTGGTAATATACGAATGGATTGGATCAGAGTATTTTATTATATAACCCTAAATGTGATCTTTTGCAAAGTTTGGAAATTTAAATATTCAATTATTATTTTTATTTCAAATTAAGACATCGGGAAATGAATTAATTAGCCTGCTACTGTGGGGAGGGTACTGTTGGTTTGAACACGTGAGTGTATGTGTGGCAAGGATTTGTCACTAAAAATCCCTGGTGGTTACCCATCTGAAACTAGTGACAACGGTCGGTGCGTACACTCAGAGGACATTCGTGACTGAATACAAACACCGCGCCTCATCGAGAAACGTTCAGTTATTATTATAGCGAAATGAACTGAACTTATACACTAAATTCATGGATTGATAAATACCAGAGAGTTGATACAAAGTGGGGAGGAAATAATATCACGTTGTTCAAATATTCAACATAATATTATTACGTTTTGCAATGAACACTGTGCCTTGGAATTCTATTTTGTATTAAACGTCTGTGCTATTAAAATATATAAACTAAATTATTGATTTACAAATAAATTATTGTTATACGAATACCTATACTTATATAGTAATTTTAAACTTTTTAATACAACATTACATAGTATAATACTGTCAGTACTAACTCCAAAATATCCTGGAATAATGTGAAGAGTATTTTAAATAATAAGAATAAATTATGTATCTCTGTATAACTAATTATTTCTACAAAACTTCAGTAAAAATATTATATTTGATCACAAATGGTGGCTAGAATTTCTCGTACTCCATTATTTTGAAATAAATTCACCCAAAATGATACCATAAAAGCGCTGACCACAAATGTCCAACGAACCCGAATGTGCGTTTATTCAGTCAACGATACTAACACGTGTTTTAAAAAAATTGAAAGAGAATAAAGAAACATACAAATAGGCTTGTGTCTACAAAGTTTTCCTCTATATTGGCTGGTAAAGAGTTTGCCATGAAAGATTGCCTTGTATGTGTGTTTGTGTATGTGTGTGTGTGTGTTTGTATAGCGTATATTGTGACTTCCAGAATAGAGATACAAGCCGGCGTTGTGACTTCCGAGGGACATTGTTACCTCCAAAATCCGGAGGTCACAAAGATTTAAAATATTTTCGACGGTTTTATGAAATATGAAGAAATATCATCATGTTTCTGTAATAAACAGGATGGAGTCCATAAGTACTGAATTAATCACATAGCGTGTATTGGTTCGTGAGTTAATAGTACGGATTTCTGAATATAGACGGCGCAGGACTTTGAGATTAACACGCGTGTATACAAATTAAAGAAATATACGTTTAAGAGAACTCCGAGACAAATAAAACACAAATGCATCGCGGAAAGCTTTTCTGACCTCCAATTACAAAATTATAATGAATAAATAATGATTTTCAATATTATTAAATTATATTAAAATACAATTTAAAACTTTTTTCCACAAACAGTGTACCAATATTTCTTAATATTAAAAAAATAAAAATAATATAAAATATAAAATACATCTATGATGTGTATGGTGTCTCCGAATTCTAATAACTCTCGCAAGGAGGAGAGGCTATGACCATGCCCCCTTATTTTTTGTGAGTATTTGTAATAACTGGAGTCCAAAAGTACCGTTGTAATTATAACAAAGTTACTTGTATAATATGTGAGGCCAATGAATAAATTAGTATTTTTTTTTCAGAAAATTAAAGTAAATTTAATAATATAACACTAAATTATTAATAATAATAGAATAATCCGGCACAAGAGTCCCACAAAAAAAATCTGTATACTTAGTGTCACTAGAACCTCCGGTATCGGAAGTCATAAGTACCATTATGTATTAAAATTAAATTTCGATGTGTAACAGTAAAATTTAAAATATTAAAATCACACAGTAATTATTGTGTCCTCAGGAACTGGAGTCCACAAATTACTTTGAATTTTACACATAGTCTTCTATGCTACAGTATACGATTTTGCCTATTATAATCAGAAGAATGCCACTAATACCTCCATCACCGGAAGTCCCAAGTCATGCGTTCAAAACATTAAGAACAATGTGTGAAAGCGAAATTTATAATATTTCAATCACATTGTAATCGTTGTGTCCTCCGGTACTGGAGTCCACAAATTACTTTGAATTTTACACATAGTCTTCTGTAACGCAGTTAAGATTTTAAATATTAATTTAAAGAGAGGCACTAATACTTCCGTTACAGGAAGGCATAAGTAATATTGTGAGTTCAATGTGTAAAACAAAATTTTAAATATTACAATCGCACTGTAGTCTGTAATTGTTGTGTCCTCGGGTACTGGAGTTCACAAATTAATTTGAATTTTTCAAATTTTTTTCTAAACCGCAATATGTGATTTTACTTATCAATCAGAAGAATGACACTGATACCTCCGTCAACGGAAGTCACAAGTAAAATAATGTTTTAAACTTTAGTTTCGATATGTAAAGCAAAATTTAAAATATTAAAATCATACAGTAATCGTTGTGTCCTCCGGTACTGGAGTCCATAAATAACTAGTACT